TGGTTTTAAATGCCATCGTCAGTTTTTTGAATGACACTTCACTCTATGGGATATAAAGCATATGTATCTATGACTTAAAGCACAAGTATCAATCGTTGAAGTTATATATCTTCATCGCATTGCGACGAATTTGAAGTTACATCCATAAAACAAAAATAGCCAATTCATTTATATTTGGCTTATATAATAACAAGTTTTATGAAAAAAAATAACCATAACGACATTATGGAGATATTCTTACTAGGAATAATTATAAAAAGAGATATTTATGTATGTGAAAAAAAAAATTTAACCCCATTGAGCAGGTTCCTTATTAGGATCAGATAGTAGACGAATGCCTAGGGTTGAAGGTGAATGTATCTAGTCATTTGTAGAATGTGTTAGCTGTGCTAGTAATTGAATACAAAATAACTTTAAGAAAGATATTTCGTACTGTCGAGGTGACGATCCAATTTCGACTAGAAAATTTCATTGAGAGTATCAAAATACAGTTCGACATCGACTAGATCCAAAAATTTTTGAATCTGAGAAGATCTGCAACGAGCTTTTTCCTTTTAGAATCTTCAACTATATATTTTTTCACAGTTTCATTATAACTCTGAACAGAAATAAAATTTTCAAATGTCGTTTACTTGTTTTCTGATCTAAACTGAAATAAAAACATAAGCATTCAATGTCGAATATGAGTCTTTCTTATCTTAATTTATCTTTAAATGTTATTAATATAAAAGAAAAAGAAAATATAGACAATTTTCGAGAACAACATGAATTATTAGTATGACAAACTTAAGATTTGATAAATAAATCATGTATATCAAAACTTACGAATAGAGGATAAGTAGCTGATGTTTTATTATGATCATATGAACAGTTTATGAAAATTATAAATAGAAAAAGTAGAAATTTAGAAAATTTTCATGTAAAATTATCAAATTTAAAACAATGTTAGAAAATAAATAAATATTTCGGATAATTTTCATTTCAATTAGGTTAATTAAAATAAAATATTTTTATTTTTAATTTATTTTTATAGGTAGTTCATTTTATCCATTTAAAATACAATTTAAAGTTGTAAATAATTTCTTTAATTTCAATATTAGAATTTATAAGTTCTTGCAATATTTCTGAATTGATTCGATATATACTAACACTAATATGTTGGTAGTCACTATTGAAACTACATACTTTTTTGTCTACTCAAACCGAATGCTTTAACAGCTGAATAATAAATATTTCCGGTTTTAAATAATGCTAGATCAATAGTCTCGATAGCTTGATCTATAGTATCCATGTCTTCTCAAACAGTTAAATCATTAAAGGTTATTTCACATTTTCTATCTTTAAGTAAAGTTTTAAGAGGTACTAAAAAATCAGCTTGAACACTATCGAAGAATTATTTCGATCAAGAATTGCTCCATCAAAAGGTAAATTTACAATATGATCACTCTATTCGAAATCATTTACAGATAATTTAGCTAATTTATTTTCTTTTTTTGATTTATAAATAATTGTAAATTTATTTTCATTATTTTTAACAATAGAAATTTCTTCACACTTTTCAGTAGCATCTGTATAACGGTTGACATGATTCGACGATATTAAACGAATATCACAGCATTTTCCACATCCTTTCTCAATTTCATTATGTGAAATTACTCTTTTTAATACATCCATATTCTCTGTATTTTCTTTTATTTTTGAATAACCAATAATTTCCGTTATTTGAATTAATCTCCGAGATTTATTAATAGCATTGATAACATTTTCTATGATATTACATCATTGTTGTAAAAGCGTTTTCATTGATGCTAATAAAACCAAATCTTCACTTAAAATTTCAAGTGCTCGACGAAATTCTTGAATGGCTGCTTCTTTATAATTTTCATCTTATTCATTTGAACCGAAAATCTTCTCATTACCCTTTATTAATAGTCATCCTTTTCCAACTAAAGTAGCAGCACAATGATTTGGATCAAGTACGATATTTTGATGGGAATGTTTGATTGCTACATCATATTTACCATTTAGTGATGAATCATTGATGATTAAGTGATTACTGATGATAATACGATGGCAAGGATTTTTAATAACACAATTATTTTCGTAGTCGCTTATTATTTTCTTACGAAATTTTTCATAGCCCGCATGAATTTTTTTTCATCATTAGTTTTATGTAAACACATTGTCCATTGTTCTTCAATATTGAGAAGTACATTCGACTTAAAAATCAAAGGACTTACATTTACAAATACACTTTTGGTAGTATTCTTTAATTTTTCAAAGAAACCACTACTCTCTCGAATTCTTGTATATATGTCTTTTAATAAGGTATTAAAACTTAGTAAAAATTTCATCTGCTAAGGTAATAATTTGTAATTCACGTTGTTCAAAGTCACTTAATATGTTTGCTTCAATTTTATCTCTTAGTTCTGTTATTTTCTGTATATCAAAATCAGCATAATGAGCTAAATTAATTGCATTTAATATTCTTTGACTTGTACCTCGTTTACCTTGTCGTGAAGTTCTACCAAATGTTTGTTGTTCAACATGTTTATTAGGTGGCATAAATTTGACAATAACAAGAAGGCTACCATGTTTTTGAAATTCATCTGTTTTTATATCTGTATCACGTTCTGATAGATTCGTAGCTATAATTATTTTTTCAGGATATATTATTTCTATATTCTTCTCATATGATTGCTATCATTCATAATGTAAAGTTTAATTGCACTTGATCGATATTCTTGTTGAAGGTTTTCTGTAATTATTTTACTATGTTCAATGGTCTCACAAATAACAAGAGTTCCTCGTTGTCTAGCCGATTTATTCATTGCGGAATGGCATATTTCTTTTAGCGAATCATTTTCATTAATTACTACAATATCAGGCAACGAAGCATGTTGTTTCCTGACGTAAACTACTAAGGAATAATAAACTAAATCTACATTGTATACTTTAATTAATACTTGTTTCGCTTTTTTGAGAACCAAATGTTCGAGTAAGGGTAAGGCCGAATAAATTTGAACCATATCTCGTAAAATATCTCCTACTGAATAGAAAATTAGTAGTCAAAGTTTCTGATATGGGGTGTGGGTGTGGGGGTCGGTCTTCCCTTCTTCTTCATCCACCTACATCCAGTCCACACCCACACCTACATATGCTTGAGTGAAAACAATTTCAAAAGCATCGATTGGGCTAAAAATTGTTTTTTGGAAATACCTAATACCATATCTCTCAGGTACTTTTAAGCTTTTCCAAAAATCTTGTTAGTGAAATACGTAAAAGTACGGAGCCAAAATGGAGTTTGAGTTTTTAAGCTTCTGTCGATTCAGGAGGAGATATTTTACGAGATATGGTTCAAATTTATTCGGCCTTACCCTTAATCGAACATTTGGTTCTCA